TATTTCTCTTTATTAGTCTGTAGTCTTTCCATTTTTTTCTTCCAAATTTCAAGGGATCATAATCCTATTTCCTCTCTTTTTTTTACTTTATTCATTAGTTATTTCATTTTGCCTTTTTGGTGATTTATATTTTCTCCCTTTCATTGAAGTGATCATTTTCACATCATAATTATGGGTTGAATCACACAGAAAGATTTTATTTTGCTTGAGCTTTGCATACTAGCACAATTAGTAATACCCAAGTTTTAAAAATTGGGCCTTGCAATGTAGGAATCTGTATATTGTTTCAGGTATTACACTAAAAACATTTTTTGGATTGAAAGCTTAATAATTACATTGGTAGCTGACTAATAATTATAGAAAATTAACAGTGCAAAACATGAAGAAATCAACCTTTCATGTGTTTTTTATTAAGCTAATGCTTGGCAGAATTAGAACAATAGTGCCTCATTAATCCATAGGTGACTTATTCGGTATTTCTAACTTTCCCAAACACAGCTGAGAACACAATAAGTAAGCCTGAAAGACCTCTAAGTGGACATAGATGTTACTGAGTTAATACTTATGTACTTCATTCTCAGGAGAGCCCGTGAGGCCCATACTGGGGAATCCTCTTCTTACAAATTTCTAACCATTACAGTGTTTTGCTTTTTCAGCCTGTAGTAGAATAAAGCTTCAAATTAGAAGAAAGTATACTGGGGCCGGCCCCGTGGCGCACTGTAGAGTGCACTGCTTAGGAGCGCGGCGGCACTCCCGCTGAGGGTTCTGATCCCATATGGAGACCGGTTCCCGCTCACTGGCTGAGCACGGTGCGGGCGCAACACCGAGGGTTGCGATCCCGTTACCGGTCAGTAAAAAAAAAGACAAAAAGGAAAAAAAAAAAGTATACTGTAAAGGCATCAATTAACAAATAACACTGAGGTAAGAAACAGGAAAACAATTAAAAATTTATATAGAAAACAAAATCTATAAATAAAATTTATATAGGAATTCAAAAAAACATAGCAGTCTGGGGCCATTTTATATTGTATAAAGAAATGGTCCAAGCCGTCTCCTAATATCTCAGTGCCTTAACATACTAAAACTTTTTTAGCTAGCATTTATTGAGCGCTTACTATGTGCCTTGTATCTGTGTTCTAAGCACTTTGCATGCATCATCATTTAATCTTCATCATTTAATCTTAAAAGGTAGATATTAGGATTATTCTCATTTTACAGATAAGGAAACTGAGACTCAGGGAAGTTAACTTTCCTAAGATCACACAGCTAGTAAATAGTAGTGCCAGGATTTACGGCTTGGTCTAGAACCTCTGCTCTCAGCCACTCTGCTGTTTACCACCTTTGCCACTATTCTTATCTGTGTTATCCAAAAAAGTAGATTCAAAAGGTGGAAAAAGGGCCGGCCCGGTGGCCACTGCTACAGTGCGCCGCTTGGGAAGCGCGG